CCGGTGAAGTATTCCGAAAAATTATAATAAAAATAAAAATATTCCTAAAAAAATATCGAGGTCAAGGATATCAAGTTTAGGGTAAAAATAATAAGCAGCTATGTCAAAACTAATATCGGTTATGTATAAAATGTGTACCGGTGAAGTGTCTCAAAAAATTAATGTAAAAATATGATATCCTTAGAAAAATGTCTAGGTTAAGAATATAAAATTTTAGAGTTAAATGAAGAGCGAAACTAATTAAACTAATACTGTTAGTTTAAGTGAGTGCACCTATATATAGCTAAGGACACTAAACCCTAGGTCATTTTTCAAACCCCAATGTTGATCTTCATGGCTGCCATGTTGGGTCCTTCATTGTGCCATTGTCTTCCTTCCAAAAGCTTGTGACTTTCTCACAAATACCATCAAGTCTTCATCTTTCTCTATTCCTATGTCATAGAGAAATTATCAATCCTTTTTATGAGTTTTGTTGAAGAAAAATACTACTTGGACAGTTGAATTTCTGTTTTGGGGTAAGGGTAGAGCCACCATCTTTCTTCTTGGTTGAGAGCTATTTTCCACACTAGGGAGCTTCAAGGAACCAAACTTGAAGAGAAAGAACCAACCTTTTCTTGTGATTTTCGTTCACCATTTGGACAGTGGCTTGGAGCATCTTCAAAGCCCTCAAAGTTCCCTCATTTATCTATTTTTGAAAGCCCTAAGGTAACCTATCATCATTTCCTTTGTAAATTCATGTACAAAGCTTGTTTTGAGTCTTTTAAAAAGGGAAACTTTGATGATTCAAGTAAAAGGTTTTTAATTTAAGCGTAAAATGGTAGTTTGAACTTCTGTTTGTTGGTAAATCGAAGGTGAGAACCTTGAGAGGCCATTAGAACTCGAATTATACAGAAAATATGCATTTTCTCATTTCTTCACATGTGGTAATCGATTACCATGAAGGGTAATCGATTACCCCTTGTATGGTAATCGATTACTTAGTTCAATTGTGACAACAACGCACTAGTTTGGTAAAATCGCGATATCTTGAGCTACAGAGCTCCTAATTGAGTGAGGTTTGGACCTATGTGAAGCTAACACATAGGGCTACAACTTTGTAAAATTTCATAGCCATTGGATAAGTGGTTTTATCGTAGTGTTAGTTTGTAGTTGCAACTTGGTTGTTAAAAATTTAGTTTATAACAGTCACTTTGCAAAAAACATAATCGGAGTTATACAACTCCAAATGAGACATAAAATATGTCATTGGAAAGCTTGAGATGTCTAGTTTAACATAATAAAATTTTAAAATTTATGGTAAAGATAGTTTAGTGCTTAGGGGCTTTGGGAGGATTATGTAGTAAGCGAAATGAAAAAAAATAATGTTCCTTTTAATATGAAAAGATAGGATATGTGTATTGATAGTGTGAATGTTATGAAAATAGATCTATAACCTTGTTGGACACTATTATTACTTGTGACCCTTTGGACACCGAGTCGTTGAGGGAGGGTTTAGCTTGACAGGTAAGCTTTCGGTCCTCGGATTTATCCATTGTTTGTTCCACCAAACTCCATGGGAGGATGGTTTGATGTGCATGGTATGCTTTTTCTGAAAATGTTCATGCATTGATATTTATCTGATATATTTGGATATACGTATTGATGTAATGTATGGATGTGATGTTGATTACATACACGATAAGGCTGCGACCCTGGTGTGTAAGGCAATTAATATTTATCTTATATATATGGATATGCATGTTGATGTAATGCATGGATGTGATGTTGGGTAATTACACGATCAGGCAGAGACCCTGGTGTGTAAGGCATGAGGCAGCGACCCTGGTGTGTAAGGCATGAGGCAGCAACCCTCATGTTTTGGTAGGTTGCAGACGTGCGTAATGTCTGTCCTGTTCTCTGGCCAGTTGAACCGCACTTGCATACATCACATGATACATACTGAGATATATGATTATATGAAGATCAGATTATTTTACCATGATGATACTGCATTGTGCACTCATTTTATATATTGCAGTGTTTACTGTTATAAATGGCCCAGTATAGCCATTTTCCTTTGTCTTGTTATTAATTTGCTTTTTTATATACTTCCTACACTATTTTAGAACTTATACTATACCTGTAAGTGAGCTTAGGGTGGAGGATTCCTTGAGGATCCCTTGTCTTACTGAGATTTCTAACAGAAATCTCACCTCTTCTGTGGAACATTTTTCAGGAGATGACGTTCATGAGACGGACACTGATAGAGGCAAGAGGCCAGCATAGAGATTTGTCATGAGTCACGCATATTATGATTATTTATACTGTCATGATAAGACTTTATTATGACTAGATTTGATGGATTATGTTGATATTTGTGGTGAGCATGGGGGTTGTATATGCCACTATTGAATAATCTGTTTATTTGTTGACTTGAGTATTTATATTGTAGCACCATGAGTTATGGATGCATTATAATTATTATTTATGAGTACAAGGTATTTTAGATTTATTTTAGTGTTGCAATTACATAAGGATTGTTATTAAAAGAAAAAGTTAATCCACCATGAGGATTAACCTTGTTTACTTATATAAAAGAGTATATTGTTTCCGCGATTAATTATTGCAAGCTGCGCTTTAAATATCATTCGCATGTTAATACACCGGCTGCAGACGGGGTGATACTCCCGAAGTTTTGAAAGATTGGAGTGGTTTATCAAGAACCCTTGAAGCTTGATAGTTAGTGAAAAAGGTTGATCGATCGGCTTCAATCTGGACGTGGGTCACAATGGTGGTGACAAACCAAGATACATCTACTTTGCAATTTCTCTAACCTTGAACTCTTTATATTTGACTTGAAATTACATTATTAGATTGTGTTTGTCTACTCGCTAGCTCATATTTATTGCCCACACACTAGTACTTTCACCTAGAATTATTTGTGTTAAATCAATTGATTGAAAAACTATTGTTCAAAATATCAAATGAGATTGTTTGCGAAAAGATTTTGCAAAACTCAATTCACCCCCCTCTTGAGTATTGAAGCCACTTGTCTAACAGTCCATAGTCAACTTTCCATCAGGAGCCGAGTTACTCAAAATCACTAATAAAGTATCTCAACTTTATGGCATCGAACTCAAAAGTAACAAAGTCTGCATCTCGTCATCTATTTTCATCTCAGCTTTAGACAACTAATTCACTATACCTTTGTAGGTGTTGAGGTGTTTGATCATACTCATGTCGTCCTAGTATTCGAGCTGCACAAGTCGGCGAACCAGGTGTGCTTTGTTCCTGGGAGTCTTCTTCTGAATCATAGACTCCAGCTTCGTCCACGACTGTACGTATTCATGAACTCGAACACATGTTCAAAGAGGCTTTTGTCTATGTATTTCCTGATCATGGCGACGACCTTTCGATTCAGGATTTCCCACTCTTCTCGATTTTGCCTTTAAGCATCTCTTCAAGGACGATGGGCTCATACATGTCCTTGCAGTACAGATAGCATTCCATCATAGGTCTCCAATAAGTGAAATTGTCAACCGTCAATTTAAACATGTCTCCGTCGTAGGCAGCACTGGTCTCCATCTCGTCTCCTCAGAACCTTTCGAACTCGAGTTTTGATATCACTGTTGGGCTCACGCAACGAAAATAAGAAAGAATGCAGAAGAGAGAGTTTTTTGAGAGATTTAGAAAAAGATTTTTTAGAGATCCTCGAGAGATTTTGTGATAATACCTCTAGAGAAAAATTTGAGTGTGACCTCTTTAGAAAAATTTGAATACTAGCATTGTTACTTATGCTTAATTGTACCTCTGGTAAAAGACTAGAAAAATTTGACTCTTTGTAATCTTTCTTTTGACATAATAAAAAAATTTATGGACTAGTGTCCCGTGATTTTTACTTTTCCACATTTGAAAAAGTTTTCCACGTTAAAATTTGATTATATTCTTCTTTATCTCTCTTCTATGCATTCCTTCTTATTTCCAATGCGCAGGCCAACCAAAAAGTACCAGGTATAATAAACGCTCAAATGTTAGTATCATTTATTTCTAATTTTAAATAACAGGTCGAAACTCCTAAACATTGAAGAAGATGGCTATGCTTCAGTACTCAGAACTATCGCTGCCTTTTCATTTGAAAGGAGTGGGGGGAAATGTGTGAACGCATTGAAAAGTTTTCGAGTGATGCAGTAGACATGCTTTGCATTAATGTCAACAATCCTCTCCAACTATCAGCACAAATACCTCACTAGTCTTTTGTATTTTTTGTTTTTCCAAAAAAATTTAACACTAACTAGACCCACCCAAAATTTACTCTTCTAGGGCTCGACAAATGGAAATAATTCTGAGAGCTGAAATATGATTGTTATTGTTGAACACGTCATAATGGATGAAATTAAATTAAATAATATTGTTTAAAATAAAATAAAATTGTCATACTATTTTTTTGATATTTTATAATAAAACGAACTAAAATTTCTATTTAATTATTTCAGAAAGAAATAAAAAGATTAAACATTAATAAATAATAGTTTGTTTCTTCTCATTCCATCTAATAAGAGAGGAAATTGTCCACCAAAAAAAAAGAGAAAAATTAAATATATTAACTGAAATATAGTATATCACATTCCATTCCATCATATATTAAATAATTCAAACAATCATTACCAAAAAATAAACTCAAACAATAACAAGTCCATTACATTCCATTTCCAATTCTTTTTATCAATCCAAAAGCATCACAACAATTCAAAATGAGAGGGAACCGGGGGGGGGGGGGGGGGCTAACAAAGAATTTACGACAGGTCAAAATATCAAATTACCACATGTAATACATGAATACCAAAATCAACTAATTGGATTAGATTTATCATATATGTTTTAATAATCAGTATTTTAGGTGTGATGATGTAAAGCAATATTTTAAAACTCGACTCAGTCATCGACTTGGTCAAGATATGGTCATTGAGCAACCGGTGGATCACTGACTTAACCGGTTTAATTAAATTTATATTATTATATAATAAACATATTATAAGGTGCATTTTAACCAACAATTGAGGACAACCCACTTGTAAGTGATAACACTACTCACTCCCTTGAGCTGAGTTCGATTCCCAATGGCCAACTCGAACCAATGAGAGCACCGGGTCACTAAAACCCGGGTCGACCCAGCCGGTTCGATAAAACACTAATGTAAAGACCTCCCATAAATCAGGATAGATCATAGTCCCATGTCAGTGACAGTATCACAACATGATTTTATAACGCATTAAAGTTTCGTCAAGAAAACTTAGCACAAGAAAGATAGCTGATACTCTAACTAAAAGAAGAAAATGAAATAACACAAGTCACAAGTCACAAGGTATCGAGTACATTGCAAAACAGAATGTCACTCGTCATCCTTGTATGGGTACTCTTCCGGAACTTGCTTGAGAAGTTTCACTTGCAACTCAAACACATCATCGCCGTGGAGCATATCTCGGACCCATGAGACCTCAGTTTTCATTGACACCTGAATATGGATGTACAGGAACCATGATGACAAAGAAAAGGATGCAGCAGATTGCATATGATACAGAGAACAAATTTTAAGCTTCATCAGGACACCCAAAATAACCTGACATATAGAAGGACACTGCACATTGCATGTCATGCTTCATTTTCCGCCAAGACAACCAAAAAGTTGTTTCCCAATTAAATTAGATGGACTTGGTGATGGATTTTACAAGGGTCTAGACAAGCTAAAGAGGTCCAGCATATGGAACTTTCTCAAGGTAAATGTTAACTTCCTCTTTGTCTCTACAAAGTCGGTGAGAGTCCAGAGGATACTGAAAGATTTATAGACATGCGAAATGCCAACTCAAAAAGCTAGATGTTGATAGCAATTTTGTTGCCTTCCATATACCACGCAACCATATGAGTAATATTTTTTATCTTAGTTAATATGCAATTGCAATGCCTCACATGCCAAAAGCAAACGGCTGTACCAATCCAGAATAATATTGTCTTTGTTTGCTAATTGTGAAAATGAAAAGACAAAACTGATAGAATAAATAAACGGAAGTTCTACAAAGAAGGAATAATTTGTGAATAAAGGTAAAATATAGGGAAAAAAACTTACCATCTCTAAAGCTCCTCTAATGACTCCACTTAAGATGTTGCAATAGTACAGACCTTGATAGGTATCAGGAAGTTCAACGAAGTCTACCAAGGGATTATCCTCCAAAACAATACTGCAAGATGTCCCATCAGCATCCCAATTAATCACAGAAGCAGTAACACCAAGGAACATTTTAAAACCAACCTGTATAAAAGCATTATTAAGGTTCATAAAAATAAAAACTTTCATTTTCATTAAATAAGAAAAGTTCATATTATATGATGAAAGCACGGGGAATTTTTTTTTTAATATGAACCAAAAGTCATAATATATAAAACTTACAGAACACATCCACTTAAGTCCTCACATAGATGTGCAGGTGTCGTACATGTATTGTGTGACCCAGAGACCACCTATTAACTTCAAAATTGAAACTGCAGGCTACATTTTTTCGTACTTAAGAAACTGACTAACTTACCCTATAAATCATTAATATTTTAGTCTGAGTACTGCACAAACCTTCAAAACTTCAAATAATAAACTCAGCAACCCAACTCAAAGAAAACCATTAATATAACCATGATCCCATTAATGATTAATCGTCAAAAATCTTGGAGGAAAGCATGACAAAACGAAAGAACTATGAAACAAATAAAGTAGACAGTAAGATATAAATCAATGGCATATATGAACATGCAGAACTTCTCCATTGGTTTAAGGAAAATGAAGATTGTTACAAACACGTATTACTATGCTAAGGTTCAGTTATATTAGTTTTGTATTGAGACAAGAAAAGGAAGATAAATGAATGTGAATCAAACTAATAAATGATAAGATGTAGTGAGATACTGAGAGTAATCTCTGAACTGAAGTGAATGTATTATTCATCTCGATAAGTTCTGGGTTCAGTTTACATATTTATAGTTAGTTAAAACAGTTGGGGATAACTGTCTTCACTGAATTTCAACAGAATCCTAGGGTAGTTACAAGTATGTTAAAGGAGATTCAACAGCCGAACTGACTACAAGATACAACACGTGTAACATATCTCTTACAGCAACCCCCCCCCCCCCCCCCCTTCTCTCTCTCTCTTTCAAACTCAAGGTGGTCGCACTAACTGAAAGGAATCAAACACCTTTGAGTTTGTCCCTTAGACAGTAAAACCGGAGCTTAGATAGAGACTTAGTTAAAACATCAGCTATTTGATCTCAAGTGGGAACACGAGCAACAATTAAGCTCTTGTTGATGATTTTATCCCAAAAAAAAGGGATGTCAAGCTCCATATGATTGGTATGTGTATGAAGAACCAGATTATGCATTACAAACACTACTCAAGTTATCACAGCAGATAAGAGGAGTAGTAACTGGAATGTGAAGCTCAGAGAGTAAGGTCCAGTGGAAGCTAAACTTCGGTACTCAGCTTCTGGTGTTGGAACCAGCAACCAACCATTTGTGAACTCATTCGGCCATAGCAACTATTTAAAGAAGTTCAATTTGGGGGGATCGTGCAAATGACACTTATTTATGATAACCAGGATGCATTACATATTGTCTCCAATAGTCCAATCCTGTTTTCCATGGACCAAACACATTGAGATAGATTGTCACTTTAGACTTTACTGCAAAAATGATCCAATCTAGAGACATTTCAATTAGTTTTGTCAATGCAAATGCTTATTTGGCAAATGTTTTCATCAAATCTTCAGTGGATCCTTAGATGAATTATCTTTATAACAAGCTTGACAAAAGTCACAAAACGAATATGACCTATACGTCTTAGCTTGAGTGGGAGTGTCAAATATAGCTTGAGGGGGAGTGTCAAATATTATTATGTCCGGATCCAATAAAAGTTATAGGGAAAAACACTTCTCATGTTGCATGAGAAGTGTTTTCTCGTGTTGTGATCCTTTAATTTGCATGCAAAGCTTTTTTTTCTATTTTTAATAAGTGTGGGGCTCACCACTAGTTGAGTCACAACACGAGAATTCAAATTTTCATACAACATGAGAAAATCAAAGCCCTAAAAATATGTTTATTGGGAAAATTGTGACTATGTATATCTTATTTTCATTATATAAATATTGAGTTCGTAGTGTAATTGAGATGCGCAGTTTTCAGCATATGTTTCTCTTCTCTCTCTCTCTCTCTCAATAAGGATAAATTTCTAGACTTTTGTTCCCTCCATGTAATGAAATCAAGTAACTAGAATACCTTGGCTATTGCTTCAGCAGTCTCTTTGAAGTCGACGCATGTCGAGATATTAGATTTAGCTAAAAATTCATCAACCAAACGGATTCCAATATTATAGCCCCTGAAAACAAACCAAACATTTAATAAAATTAAATTAAATCCTGTCAGATACCACAACAATAATGTAAATTCGATCAGATAGAAAAATGAAATTTAATTGCTTGAGAATAGAAAACTAAAACAAAAAAGATACTGAATATAGTAAATTTAAAATTGGCAATGCAAAAGAGATTCTCAATTGCACATTTGATCGAGCTGCTTGTTAACCTCCTCAACCTCTTCCAGATCCGTCATCAACTGGCGCACAATTGCACCATACGTCAAAGTAAATAGCTCCGCGTTCTGCGCAATATCGTCGAAGCAAATAATTCAGTACTAGAAACTGCAAATTACGAAGCAATTGCAAATTCAAAGAGATACGATATATATAAACGAAGATTCGATGAAATTCAAAGCTGTATTTGGTTGCAGGATATTCAAAACATGAAGGAGAAGTTGACACTTCAAGAAATTATTTAAAAAAAAAAAAAAAACATAAAATCAACCGAATAAGGAGTCCATCTCACGGTTATCAACACAGAGAAAAGAGAAGGGGAAAAATGGTAAATAATATTTTCCATCACCGGTATTATTGTTTCTTTTTTTCTTCCATGATTTTCTCGGAGTCCAAACAGAGCTTAAATTGGTTACCATGCGTTCGGTACTAGCGAATATCGCGTCGCCGGATCGAGGAGCAACGGGAGGCATTGAAGGACCTCAATGAGAGTGCGATCTGCGCTGCACTGAGCGAACTTGCTTCCTAAGTTTCTAGAAGGTTTGGTGTTACTTCAACTTCCACGTGTTCTTCCACTACCTGGACCGGGCCGTTACCTAACCTGTGTATATACATATACTTTGAATTAGCCCAAATGTATCAAACCTGGTAATAAGGGCTCCTCTGTCTACAATATGAGTCTAATAGTACCCCAATTGGATTAAAAAATAAGGAAAAAACCATTACATGTGATAATTTTTTTTTTCTACACATCATTCGATAACTGTGTCACTTTTTTCTTTTCTTTTCTTTTTATTTTTCAGATGGTGGAGTCCACAAATTTGTCTCTATAACATGAGATAACTTATCTCCTTTGACAAGAGATTAATAAAACCCAAAAAATAATACTAGAAAATTTAACATTATAGTCACATACCTTACATTAACTACCCGGTAAGCTAATTTAGTGGGCTAATCACTTATATTAAATGAGAGGATTATTTTACTATGAGAATAAGAATAGTTAAAAACAAAAATCACGTTTACTTTTTTAAGTAGTTATATGACTTTTTTAAACAATTTTTAATCTTAAACATTTAGATGAGATTAGATAATTAAGACACTTCACATCTTTCGTAATAAATTAGTACACACGCCAATGAATTTCAAATATATTTGAAAAATTAGTTTTTAACCATTGGTTAATGGCAGAAAGAATTAGTAGCTAAATTGGTTGAACAATTATTTACAAAAAAGAAAAAATAGTTTGACAATTTAGTAATTTCAATTGTGTGGGGTATGCAAGGATTTTTTTTTATGCAGTACAGTTATTTTCCATACATAAAACATTAAAAAAAATGTGGCTATAATGACCCTAACTGGTAAATCTTAATTAGAGATTTAATTTAAGGATTTAAATACCATAATTAGATTCAGAGCTCGATTTTGAGTATTTTGACTGTAATCATGACTAGGTTATGAACAGTGCGTTCTGTCGGATAATTTGCAATATTGTGAATTAACCGGTAGAGCTTAAATGAGCAAAATGATGTTAGAGACATAATTTGACAATTTTGACGCCAAATATGAGTTTAGAACAAAAAATTGTATATTCTGACATTTTCCGTGAAAATCACGTGAATAGTGTTTTCTACCGGGTATTTTATACTGTTGTTTAAGCAACTGGTAGAATCCAGAAGCAAATAATTGATGAAATAAGATTAAGAAAGTCCAATATATGTCAAGCAAGTCAAAATAGGCCCAAGAATGATAAGTTTATAAGTTTTAAGTTTCGTAAGTAAACGAAGTACAGTTAGTGATTCACAGTGCATTTCGTCAAAAACGGTGCAGAAACCATACTGTAAATTATGAATATTGTTCCTTAGGAAATAAAAGATTAATGTAAATGTGTTCAGAAAAATAATAAAAATATGTTCGTAGCTTTAAGTTAGTTCCGGGTCAGTTTAAGTTAAAATACGCGATAGAAAAACAACCGGGTAAAAAGGCCACATTTGCTTAAAACCCTTAAGTGGCTTAAGTTAGCACTATTCACATCAGTTTCCCTTTCTTCTCTCTCTCAAAAACCCGAGCTTCATCAATGGGGGGCTAGGTTTTGGTTGTTTTGTTTTTCTTTGATTTCTCCTTAAATGCTCAACCAAATCCTTAGGTCCATTACACAAAATTCATAGAAAATCACCCAAGGAATCCATTCCACCCCTCTATTTGGGCTGATTTCGCTTGTGGAGGAAGTTCGTCCTCACCCCCTTTTCGTTTTACTATTCATCCAAGAAGAAAAAGTGGAGTTTTGATGGAGTTTGGGTTGGAGGTTGCTCTCTAGGCTTCTGTACATGTGATTAGAGGTAAGGGATCTCTATTTCTATAGTTTTATTTTGGTGATTTAAGTCTTGGAAAATTATGAGCATGTTGGTGGGAAATAAATATAGTTTAAAATTGAATTGATGATAGATTATTAGTGTGTTAAATATTGGAATGTGAAATAAGCTTGTGAACATGTATAAAATTGGAAAAAAAAATCCCATGGGGAAATGCCCTTTATGTTTCGGCCATCATAGATAATGGGGAGGATGTTGTGCAAAAATTTTATTGTATGTTTTGGGAAGATTAATATGTTAGAGGAAGTGGAAAATTGATGAGTTAGCTAAGAATGCAAAAGTGGGGGAAAATCTTATGAAATATGCCCTTATGAGTTCGGCCATGACGGGCTTTGGAGGGGTGTTTATGTTCAAAAAAAATTAGTTGAATACCTTGTGACAATATACCTATATAGGCTTAGGTATATGTGAGTTATTTTGTAAGTGAAGAGAATAGATGAAAAAGAAAGAAACCCTTGGCTTCTCCTTTATGGATTTCGGCCTTATAGGGTAAATTAAGGATGATTAGATTATGTTTTATTTTGTTAAGGTGTTGAGTTCTCAACACATGAAATTAATAAGATTATGAAGTGAAATGGTTTAAAAAGAAATTAGGGAAAAATATCTTGATTTCCTAAGTGTAGATCCACGGCCTTTTAAAGAAAATGGCATGAATTATGTGGAAAATGCTCCAGTGAACATTTGATTAAATTAAAGAACGCTAAGGAGTATAAAATGGTCTAGACTTGTGTATTGGCATAGGATTGGCAAAAATGTAAAGAAACAAAAATAAGCGATAGAATGTATGACTTATGTAAAATTTAGACATGATAGCATTTTATTGATTTGTATTTTGGATTCTTTCTCTAGATGTGCCTAGGGACTGAAAAGGGTTTGAATCCTGTTGAAGCGGTATAAGTAACTTGTGCCACAAGTAAGCGAATTTGAAAAGCTTCAAGAGGTAAGCTCTATGTTTAAGGAGTCTTTTCCTGCTTGAGTGCTCCACCATGGTTAATGAACTATGGTTGGACTTTATGACTGTTATTTTGATACTCTGTATAGATACATTCATATAGAGTTATTTGATAACATGATATGACTTGTTCTGATATGATTTATGTATTGATGTATGGTACACTGATGTCTTCTTGGGATTCCCCTGAGATTGACGATGTACACCTCTGACATGTTCTGGTTCCGCTTGGGGTCCTCCCTTGGGAACACGTGCGTTGAATTTCGCTTGGGGTCCTCCCTTGGGAATGACGGCGCACGCCTCTGATATGATATGGATATATGTTTTGTTCTGTTATGATATCTGTTATATGTGCATTGTATACTCTGTATCTGACTTTCATGCAGGAGTGAGCCAAGGGTATGGAGAATTCTCTATAAACCTGGAGCTTATTGAGATTTGTAATCTCACCCCTCTTTGGGGACATATTTCAGGTGCCCAGATTCCCGGTGAGTCTTCACTAGGCAGGGACGCGACCCGTGGTTGAGGCATTGGGACGGATCAATTTTTGAGTAGCTGTAGGCTACTAACCTTTTGGAGTGCATTTATGTTATTTAGTATTTCTGCCTTTGATGGATCATGATCTTGGATCCCTTACTTTGTATATGTCTTGTACATGTCTGTTAGTTTGATGCAAGTACATTTGTGTATTCAGGCATGTGGATATGACTATGTAGTATTCAGTTATGTTTTACGTGTTGGATTGCATGCTGTTAGATTAGTGGCACGGAGCCAAACTATGCATGTGCCTATGGATGGGTTTATGATTATATTTGAATGTCTGGTACTTGTGAATGTATATGCTGTAAAATATGTCTATCAGGAACTCTTGTGAGTGGGATTGGAAAATCCCCAGTTGTCCAAATTATAGAGGTTACTCTGTCCGATTTTCGTCTCCGCCGAGTAAGAATTAAAATATAAAAAGAAAAAGTTAGCTCGTATTTTCCTAAGTTAAGTCTTCTGCTGTTTTTGTTTGTATCATATGTATGTTAATTGAACCGGCTCGAGACGGGAATGTTACATTTATGTTATCAGAGCAGTTTCGCTAGGAAAGCCTGTGATATATTGCATAAGTTGTTCGGGTTATGATATTCTTGAGTTTTTCTTGGAGTACTATGATATGCATGTCTGATCACTGAGTGTGAGCGTAGCTAACTCATTCCTTTGTGTAAAATGTGCAGAATTATGGTTCGTCCAAGAAGGACTCCTGATCCTCCTATTGACCCGACAGATCCTATTTTAGCAGATTTGGCTAGGCTCCGAGTAAATCATCGGGGAGGTACTTCGCAGCCGGATCCAATGATAACGGCCTTGACTGCAATGCAACAAAATATGGTTGCAGCTAGGCAGCGAGAGCCGGAAGTAATGATGAAAGCAAATCAATACATGTTAGAGGCCAATAGATTGGCTAATCAAGATATGATGGCAGCAAGCAGATTGGAAAATGTTGAAATGATGAGATTACTATTAGCTGAGGTGAGGGCTAGTGGGCAAGGTTCACAGTCACAGCCTTTGCAACAACCAGAACAGCCTGCTCCTCCTCCTTCTCCTCCCATTGTAGTGGAGGGTGAAGGAAATAATGATATAAATGAAGAATCCAGTCACAGGGGTGGTGTGGCACTGCTAGCCACTAATAGAGAGCAGAGAGAAAGAATGCTAAATGCATTCCGGAAACATGCACCACCACATTACAAAGGCGGCATTGATCCTATTGCTGTGATTCAGTGGTTGGAAGAATTGGATCGCATTTTTACTGTTATGGAGTGTGATGACCAGCAGAAATTATTGTATGTCTCCTATATGCTGCAGAGTGATGCAGTCGACTGGTGGAGAAATACTCGTCAACCCTTGGAATGTCGGGGTTATGCTATTACCTGGCCATTATTTGAAAGGCAATTCTTACTGAGGTATTTTTCGGGGGAAGCACGGATAAAGAAGAATGATGAATTTGAAGAACTAAAGTAGGGTCAGATGTCTATTGATGAATATCAGAATAAATTTAATAAGCTGGCAAAATACTCTCACTTCCAGAGAGCTCCACCTACTGAGGATGACTTGGTGTTTAAATTTTAAAGAGGACTACATGACAATATTTCTGAAAAACTTGCAGGGCACTCTTTTGATACTTTTGAGGCACTTATTAAGAAATGTAAAAACATTCAAGAATACTATAGAAAGAAGCACAAGGACCAAGTTGCTCCTAATTCC